TCAGGGTCAATCTACACTCTACTAAGAGAAAGAGAACAAGCAAAACATGTATTTCCAAAATAAATCACTGAAGGCAAACTGGGTTTTTATGAAGCCTTTGCTTATAAATATAAAGACACATTTGCTAATAAATATAGACACATTTCATGTTTGTATGTGGTCTAAATTAATAATCGATAGATGATACATATTAAATGTGCTCAGAAGTTGCTCTTTATTTATATTTACATAGAAGACTAAATTGTAAATTGCAGGAAAGAATAATACACCAAAAGTTCCAGAAAGAGCATAAATGTTTCCTTTATCATAGTTAAAGATAATTCATTACTATATTTTTGTTTTAAGCTTCTGGTTTATATACTAACAATTAAAATGTAAATTAATTAGGACTCTCCACTCCCCTCCAATAGCTCCGCCCCTGACCAGAGTAGTATACTGTAGTACAATGTAGTCTAGCTTTAATTTGTCTGTGTTCATCTACTCTAATGCAAAGCTCATCCTATTGCAGAAAGACAAATAAGTATTTTTTTATCTTTACACTTCTTTTGCACATTAGTTAAGGCTTTATATATTTTTAACAATATTTTATGAATCTCTTCTAACAAAAGGCAAACAAGTACTGTTTAGAAAAACTAGTAGTTAACAATTATCCATTTATGGGGTTCCTACATTCCTTACAAACTGCCCATTTGTTGTCTATTAATCTGTACCTTTGTTACCAATTACAAAATATGCTAAATGGAAATACTTGTTTATATAATTTGGAATATTGGCTAACCTGACTGCTAGTCTTTTTAAATTGAATTTGTCATACGACTGCAAGACATTCAGTGTGGTTTGCCTCAATGAAGGCCAATACAGACACTAGAGGACAAGAGAGATACTTTCGGCCTCCCAGGGTTACAAAACTAAATTAGATTCTGCTTTTGCATTTCTGGTTTTAATCTTGCAGGAGATTTTTATGTAATGCATCCTATGGACAGTTTGGTTTCTTAGAATTATGAAGATTGTCCGCTATAGTTGTAGAATCCTACGGTGACTTCCCTCCCTCCTTGAGTCAAATAACATAATTATCTGTTCTTGCAGTCTGCACTGGTCTGCCTATTGCCTTCATTCTATTGGCTGACTATTTATTAATCATAGGAAAACATTAATAGATGGTTCTTTTTGCTTTGATTCCTTTTTATTTTAATATTCAGTAGAACTAAAGATGTATCAGTTGTAAAAAATGTAAAGATAACAATAAAAAAGCTCAACAGGCTTTAATTTAAAAACTGATATATTGTTTATGGTTTTCTTTGTAATAACTAAAATCACTCAAACCTTACATGATTAGCTTTGGAATTATACTAGTGAAAACAAACTTTTAGTTTTCCATGTTTTACGTCTTTTCTAGTCACGTGAGTCACACAGATGTTGGCGCATAGTTGTATTTCTAGTGTTATTCTGACTGATCAGAGTCACATAAACCGCTGTCTGGATTGAGTCAGTGCTAGATTTCTGTAAACCACTGAGTGAGATATCCAGCATTCCTTTCTTGCCTCGCCGGCCTGTCCAATAAACTTGAAGGAGACGAAGCCAGAAATCTTGGTGTAGTCATGGACTCTGACCTGAATTTTAACAGCCACATTAAGACAATTACAAAGTCAGCCTATTATCACCTTAAGAATATATCAAGGGTTAAAGGACTTATGTGTCAACAGGACTTGGAAAAACTTGTCCATGCTTTCATCTTCAGTAGACTTGACTACTGTAACGGGGTCTTTACAGGTCTCCCTAAAAAAATCAATCAGACATCTGCAGCTGATTCAGAACGCTGCTGCTGGAGTCCTCACTAAGACCAAGAGACTGGATCACATCCCTCCAGTTCTGAAGTCCTTACACTGGCTTCCTGTGTCTCAAAAAATTGATTTCAAAGTACTTTTGCTAGTTTATAAATCACTAAACGGTTTAGGGCCAAAATACATTTCTGACCTGCTAGTACACTATGACCCCCCCCCAGACCTCTAAGGTCATCTGGGTCAGGTCTACTTTCTGGCTCAGAACTAAACAGGGGGAAGCAGCGTTCAGTTTCTATGGTCCTCACATCTGGAATAAACTCCCAGTAACCTGCAGGTCCGCTGCTTCTCTCAGTTCTTTTAAATCAAGGCTGAAGACCTTTCTTTTTGATGTTGCCTTTCTCTAAATGGGTTGATTTCTTCACTGTTTAATCTCTTATACTGCACAGTAATTTTTTATTGTTGTGTTTTATTCTGTTTTTATTTTTAACTGTGTTTTATTTATTTTTTTAACTGATTTTATGTAAAGCACTTTGAATTGCCCTGTTGCTGAAATGTGCTATACAAATAAAGCTGCCTTGCCTTGCCTTGCCTTGCCTTGTTCTGTTTTCTTACACCTGCTTTCTGATATTCTGGTCCAGGACCGTTTCTTACTATTGGCTCCCCGACCCAAGCCTCAGCCCCCATGATTTGTTTGTCTGGAGTGGGACTAAATTGCTTAACCTGTTTTCTGAATGTGGCCATGGAGACCAAAGATCTGTGAATATCTGTCGCTGTGAAGAAAGCTAGTCTATCTCACCACCACCACCTCCCGCTATAGTACCAAAGCAAAGGATGCATGTCTCCACTAGAATCCTGAGAAGGTTAATGTTGTTATCCACAAGATTTATTCAATGTCCCTTTGATAGCAGGAGATAGGCACCAGCATCCCTCGCAAGCCCAGCAGGGATGAGAAAAGGGATGGATGGACCACATTTATGAAGTCTAACATATTTTTCTAATTATTTAAAAAAAAAATGTACAGGAGAGATTTAGCCTCTCAAGTATTTAATGAGAAAGCAGCACAGGTAAATCGGTATAATCTTCAAAGATACAGACTAATAGTAAATATTAAGCTGCAGCTACAGATAAATGCCATCCTGAATAATATTGTGTAATCACCATACTCTAGGTTATGACTTCGACACAGAGGGATGTCTAAAGGATACCCGCTGCTCTTGAAGCTTTTTTAATATTTACTTTGGTTGTCTGTTGTTTTCTTTTCCTGATGTTATGTCTCTGATTTCTGTCCATCTTGTCTCATGCAGGTGTAGAAACAAACTTCCAGGAGTTACTGAACATGACTTTTAGTCACACGACTTCATGTGTCAAAAAGTTCAACAAGCGCAATATTGAATTTGAGGATATTAAAATGTTCTTAATTATAATATTAAAGTTACCTTTTGTAGTAAAACAACAGATGGCAGTATGCAGGGGGTAAGGAAGCAGAGATTCAGCACCTCAGTGTGTGGACTATAAATATAGTGTTTTTTTAAAATATATTTTGTGTTTTTATTTTTATTTTTTTCAAAGTTTGAACCTTGACATTGAATCTTTGCAAACAAACAATGCTTATCTCATCTTTTTATTTATTATTGTATTGAATTTCTTTTGTTCTTTGGGGTTGGTTTCTACAGTATACAGATCTGAATCTTCTTTTCTTTGTTTTCTTTTCTGCAAACTTATTTTTTCAAAGCTAATCCAGCTGAAATATTTTATTCCATCTATATTGAGAGAAAGAATAAAAGGGAAATAGAGGATACAACTGTAATAATAATAAGAGCAAACATGACAAATGAGGATTTTACCCCCTGAGAGCAAATCTGCTTTAAACTGACATATTTGTGCAGTCACACACAGGGAATCAGAAATTTACAAAAAAGTTAATTTATATTAGCACTAATGTGTTTTTCGCTAAGTTACACATTATAAAAACCTAATGAAAACACAGCATTTAAGATTATAATATTACATTACTGATGAAGACATTTGGGCTTAATGAAAAATAATGAAGTTCTCAAGGTTATTCCTTTTTTTTTAAGACAAAAGCATCATTAGATTGCACTTTCTATTATTTACTGAATATAAACATATACTGTATATAGAAACATTAGTTTCATAGTTATGTTTGACTGTGGAAATGGTGAACTAACTTAGACCCTGAAGGTTTGTTGGTACAAAACATCCATTAAATTTTAGATTTTTTTATGTTCACACATTTAATCTGTTTACCTTGTTTCAACTATTTGCTGGTTACAGAAAAAAACTGCTCCTCCGAGTAAATAAAGTTTATTTCAACCTTAAATGAGCATTTTCTGAAAGGAAAATAAAAGTGATTTCACAATAATGAAACTGTAAACATGAGTTATAGTTTGTGCTGAAGATATATATATATATTTTAATTGTTCAAAAGAGTTTTTATGGTTTAAAACCACTTTAATAAGCCGGTCTGTCATAACATTTGTATGGTTTTACTTATTTAATTTCCTTTATCTTTATTGTTGAAAGTGCTTTTATATGAACATTTTCAAAATACTAATTGCCTCATTAAAAAAAATGAAATTTGTGTTCAGGAGTTCCAGCAGAGTTGACAATAATTTTAACTCAAACTGTAATAAACATCCTCTGATATGGCCTTATTTATATATAAAAACAATTTTTTTACGGGAGTGGCAGCCTAGTGTTTAGGGCATATAGCTAAGAATCCTTAGGTTCTGAGTTCGAGCCCCCTCACACAGCCTCCACTCTGGGTCCCTGAGCAAGACCCTTAACCCCACACTGCTCCCCGGCAGCCCACTGCTCCCCAAGGGGATGGATTGAATGCAGAGGCAAATTTCTACAATGTGAGATCCAGTAACTTCAAATATTATTATTGTTTTTTAAACAGGTACAGTTCAAGGTTGCATAGACATGTCTGGTAACATGAAGGTCATAAAGGGATATTATATAATACGGTTAGGGGAAAATCGTAAAAATGAAGGAAGAGATAAATGCAGAGAGAGAAAAAAGAAACAAGCAAGGATAAAGTTTGAGAGATAAATGAAAGCAATGTATTCTCCTGCAATCGTTCATCTACGTGATACGGGCTGCTCCTCAGATCTTACCATTCTAATTCTTAACACAAACAACCAGCTGAAAGCGGAAAGCCTCCTTAGTCTGTTTACACAAAGTTTTTTCACTGACCTTGAACCTCTCCTTTCAGGCAATAGTCAGTCCTGAGTCCTCCTCATGCAAATGAATGCCGCAATATCTGTTTGCATTGCTGCCAGGAAAGAAGCTGTCCATCTCATCTGTTCACTTTTTCACCTGCAGGAAGACAAATGAGGACACAGAGGATGAGATACGGCAATACTCGGCCACCTTATTCATTTTATTTGCAGGGGAAAAAATAAAGACAATCTTTTAGCTTTGCATTTGTAGATTTGTTTGTTGTAAGAACTGCTTTTGTGCTAATATGGTTCTGTTATTATTCTTAATTAGGAAATGTCTAATATTTTTGCAAATTTAAGCAAAAAAAAGTATATTGTTTTTAGTCTTTTTGTTTGTTTTTCCATCTGAGAAAATTTCAACATTTGGGTAGCCCAAATAACCATTTTCTATAGTATATTAACATCGTGTTGTTCTCAAAGTTGGAAGGTTACTCAATTAGTATTTATTGAAAGAAAATGGGTATCTGAAAGGGCAACGTTTTAAATACAGTCAGGGGAAATACTAATAGACAAAATCTAGATTATAACATTTAATACAACTGCACAATGTATCATAAAATATATACCGTAGTCATTGGGTTGTCAATGTAAGCAAAATTCAGATTATCATCACCCATTTAATTTAGCAAGATGGACAGTCTTATTTTCCCACCAGACCCAGGTTACTGTGCATTCCCAAAATGCTAAAAAACACAGATTTATGGAATGATAATACCTTTTACAGCCCTGTCTGAACTGCATATTCAAGCTGATGCTACTTAATGGATGCATATTCTTTATTTCACATTTTTTAAGATACTAAACATGGTAAAGATAGTTGAAAAAATTTCTCTTTTTGCTGCTGACCAAAGTGTAAAGTAAGAATAAATCTGACATTTGTATTAATTATTCTTCACTGACATGTACTGGAACAATTTGAAACTTACTTTAAACCCCTGAATAAGCACAGAACTGTAATTTTTTGTACTGTTACACCCTAAATGTTTAACAAATGGATCAAAAAAATTGTAGCACTTTGTTTTGCTTTATATAGTGAATACACAAAACTATCAGAAGGAAAGAGTGTATGGAAATTTTTTTTATCACTTTTATAAAAGCTGGTCAAAATGTAGTTATTTCTCACCTACAAAAGGTTCAAAAGCTGCACACTAATGTAGGTCAATTTAGGAAAATTTCCAGTAGTCTTAAAAAGGACCTTTATTCTGAAAGGATTATATTAAATGTTTCAGGTGTCCTTACTGTTTTAAAAGCCTTTATTTATCTTGTACCACCAGTTAAAGGTTAACCTGGTTTGGGTGCATTAAAATCTCTTTCAGCAGTGAACCTGCTGTTACCTCCCTTAGTGGTGCCCCGTCACCCAGACTTGGGTCAACTCAACGTGAAGTCAAACATTTATCACGCTGCCCTTGTAAATAACTTTAGATTTTTTCTTGACAGGTGCTGACAGCTTACATCAGTCATGCAGCAGCCAGACTCAGTTTGGGCTAAGTGCTGTGCCAATTATTGCATGACATTGCCATCCTTAAGCGTTCTCAAGAATATTAATAATTTATGACACATTTCTTTATTTATTTTCATGCTTCTAATGGGCTTTCATTCACTAAAGGTCTTATTGTGAAGTTGCTTTTTATTTATTTGCTCCACTCCTAGGGATGGCAATGCTATTGTAGAAAAGCCTGAAGACTGATATCATTAAAAGGGTTGTAAACATTTTTTATATGAAGAAAAGCATGGATATAAAATTTTCTAACATAATACTATGACTTATAGTTTGCCTGTATAAGTGTGGTGACCCTTTTGGGACATAGAATCCATTTCACCATTAAAGGTGTCTGTGGTGTTTGGCACAAATATGTTAAAAGAAGATTTGAAGTCGTGGAAAATGCAAGGCTAGGACCATGTCAACAACAAAAGGATATTTGGTTGTCGATTTTAAAACAAAAACTGACTAAATGTGTGCAATGATGGAGATATAATCAGTGATTTTCACTTCATCTGTGTTTGGATTGTTCAGCAGGATCAAAATATGCATCCTCCCAGTAAAATACATCTTCAAACTACTGTTGACAATCTACACTTGACATCATATTCTCCATTTTTTTAATCTAACACAAGTAAATTGATGTTAATTAAAAAGGAAAGCCCCTGACTGTTACCCTTTCCTTCTGCCTTGAGCTCTCATGCTAAATATGAAAGGTTAACAAGGGGTGGTCCATGTTCCATACGTCAATGATTAACACAAGTCAGGATTGATTTGCGCTGTTATGAATTATGCCAAAATGCTCTGCAAAGTGGATGTTCTGTTTCAGCTTTTTATACAGCTGCCTCACTACTAGGTCACTTGCTAAAAAGCTTGAATGTCAGGAATTAATGGTTAAAGAATCTTTTTTTTTTCAATACAGGCACTCGGGACCTTGGTATTATTTGTTGAATATGTAAAGTCACCATTATTCTGCATGATTCACCAATATCATTACTTTCCCTCAGTTATTACTTCAGGTCACTATCATCACCTTTTCTGAATAGCAGAAATAGCAAAATAAAGAGAAAACATTTAAACATATGAAAGCGTGCCTAATTTGTGGAGGTTTACATTCAGGGAAACACAACTTGCATGTCTT